CAGCTGTGGAATGAACCCAGACAGAGCCCTGAAGGGGCCTGTGGGCACAAAGGTGGTGCTTTGCAAGGAAACCCTTTCTGAGGGGGTTGCTGCAGGTCCCTTGGTGCTCCCGACAGCAGCCAGGCTCCTGGGGGCTTCTGGCAGGGGAGGTGGGAGCACAGGGACGTCCCCAAATCCGGAGAGGCAGCTGGGATAAATCTTGGGGGTGTTTCTGTGCCGGGAGAGAGCGGTGCTGGAGGCAGATGGAGAGGGCTGTGGCGCTGGGCAGGCTGGTGGCACATGGATAGAGCTGGGAGAAGCTCAGCAGGCAGGGGAAGAGCTCTGAGCATCCCCGGGATTCACATTTCCCATCGCTCATGCCCCCAGGACTGGTGTTCCCTGAGGATCTGCCCCAAGCAGGCTCTGCTCACCTGCAGCTGTAGTGACTTCATATCAATGAGGTAATTTTGTCCCAGGGGTTCTTTATCTGTCTGCTGAAGAGCCCCAGCCCCGTGTGAGTCAGCCAGGCTGCACAACGGCCCCGTGATGAATTACACTCGGACACACACTAAATGACATTTGCCAATAAATTTATGCAGATTTCTCCTGTAATCCTTCTCCTCATCAGAAGTAGTAATGCTTTCTCAAATGCAAATACACTGCAAGAGCCTTGCCACATCAAACGGGAGCTGGGCTGAGCTGTTCGGAATTCAGGACGATAATCTTCATTGTGCTCATGAATAACCATTTCCTAGAGATGAATATTCAACAAAGCCTTGGCAGAGCCCCCTCCGAATCCTGGCTGTCCCACTGCCCGGGTCCAGCAGCTCTGACCAGACCTGCAAGCGGATTCCACACTCATTTCACTTCATGATGCTTTGGGCATTCCTTGTGCAGCAGCAGGTTTGATGGGCTCCACTCGTGAGTGTGGAGCAGGTGCAGAGCAGTGGTTGATTTGCAGCCTCGTGGGTGCTGTCCTGACCTTTCCTCTCCATCCTGACCTCCCTTCTCCATCCCATGACTACAACCTCCCCCAGCCCCCCAGCCCAGCCCATGGGCTCCATGTGGTGTCCAGCACAGGTCACACCATCACTGAGAGCAGGAGGGTCCAGCTCTCCCCATGCCCACGGCACCCACCCCTGCTCTTCACAGGTTGCCCAGAGAAGCTGTGGCTGCCCCATCCCTGGAAGTGTCCAAGGCCAGGTTGGATGGGGCTTGGAGCAACCTGGGCTGGTGGAAGGTGTCCCTGCCCATGGCAGGGGGTGGAATGAGGTGGCCTTTAAGGTCCCTTCCCACACAAACCAGTTTGGGATTCAGTGATTCTGTGATTCTGACTTTTTCTGAAGACCCAGTAAAAACATGGCAGTGTCTGCTCCTTTAGCTCCCAATCCAACTGTGTGCTCCTTGTTGTGCTACTGGGAAAGGCTCCTGCTTCCCAGTCCCTCCTCAGAGCTGCTTACCTGGACAGGGCAGGAGAAGGCAGGTGGAAAGGTGGGAGCACCAGGACAGGTCTGGCTGCTCAGTGACATCCCTGGCACCCAGGGTAGGAAGCACTTATCCAATGACACTCCAGGCTGGGCAGAGCAGGGAACACCTCAGGGTGCTGGAAGGGGGATGCTGGATGTGCAGAGCCCTTGGCCACCTCTGATCAGTGGGGTTTACATTTTTTATCATTTTAAAGATGATTACATTCCAAGCAGTGATGATCTAAGCTAATGAAGTGCCTATCACTTTGTGGTTTGGCAGGAAAAGTTGAATTGCTGGAGTTATGGGGATTTCCCTTCAATCCAGAACATGGAAGATAAGGAAATAAATTATTTCTTTCACTGTTGTTTAGTGTCATTTTTTTCTGTGCTGGGTTTTATGCCCTGACATCCTGGTAGGCTCAGTAAACCCACGGCAAGGGCAGCTCCAGCACCCCAGAGATCCCCTGACTCCTGGATCAGAGCAAGGAGAGGGAGAGCAGCCAGGAGAGGCTGCAGCCCAAGCTGCTGAAGGGACAGGCTGGGACATGGGCAGCAGTGCAGAGCACTTGCTCCCTCTCTTCTTCCTTGACTGAGAAAAACTGCCCCAAAGGCACCTTTTGGAGCCCAGCAGCACTGGCTGCAGGGTTTCCATGATCTGAGAGGTTAAAAGGCACTTGAACTCTGAAGTGAGAGCCTCTGGACATGCTCTGAGAGTGATTTATGGCTTCTCCACTCACTCAGGGCCAGCTTAATGCCTTTCTTCTATCTATTTTTCTGTTGTTGTCGTTATCACTGTGAAATAAATATGAAGAGGAGTTAAAATTCAGACTCTCAGCCCAGACATTGCTGCTGCAGGACCAGCAAAAAGGGGGGCTTGGGACTGTGATTTACAAGCTCCCAAATCAGGAGCTGTTTTCATATTACCTGCTTTGCCAGGGAAGCTCCTACTTGGAGGAAAAATAAACTTGGAAATGCACAAAAACACCCCAAGATGACTGGGGATGGGGGGTGGTGCTGGAGAAAGGGACAGCCCAGCAGGGATTTGCAAGGAGCCATCCTGGCCACCCTGGTTGTACCTGTCAGTGATGTGAGCCAAGGAGGAGCTGCATCCACTGCTGCCATCCTGCATCCACGGGTACCCTCCTGCATCCACGGGTACCCTCCTGCATCCACTGCTGCCATCCTGCATCCACGGGTACCATCCTGCATCCTCTGGGCACAGGGCATGGCTGAGGGCTTTCATCCTACAAAGCTCGTGGGGCTGCTCCAGGCATGCTGGACACAGTTCCCCACCATCCCACCAGCATCCTGGGTCCTCAGCACCACCCAGAGCCATGGCTCCCATTTCTCCTGTGACAACTTCACCAGTGCCACTGCTGGCTTCACTGAGGAAGTTTCTGAAGACTCAGGCTACGAAATCCTGCCCTTTGTATAAACATTTTAATTACAATTTTCCGGGACTTCTTTCCTAAGATAAACACATTTTAATTGCAAATTGCTTGTGCTGTCTTTACCCACCCCCCAGCACTGCTGCAGCTGCTGGGTTTAATGTTTAATGAGACTGCCTCTGGGCTGGGCTGGATGTGGCAGCAGGGCCGGGGGACACCAGAGCAGCCCCAGAGTGCCCGGGGTGAGCCATGGGGACAGGAGAGCAGGAGAGCAGAAGGGCAGCTCCTCCATCCTGCAGAGCCACCACAGCTGGGAGCGACTCTGGCAGGAGGATGTGGTGCAGCTGTGACGAGTGCCCTGCCAAAAGGGACGATGGCCTGCGGTGAGCATCTCCCACCCTGCGTGTCCTGCAGGTTCCAGGCAGTTCCTGGGCTTGGCCATGGCCCCCCACGGCAGAGGAGCCGGGCTTGGCCAGCTGCCCGTGGCTTCCCCCCACGGCACACACCACGAGCCGTGGCACTGCTGCCCCTGTGCCACCACCATCCCTGTGCCACCACCGCCCCTGTGCCACCACTGCCCCTGTGCCACCACCATCCCTGTGCCACCACAGCCCCTGTGCCACCACCATCCCTGTGCCACCACCGCCCCTGTGCCACCACAGCCCCTGTGCCACCACCGCCCCTGTGCCACCACAGCCCCTGTGCCACCGCAGCCCCTGTGCCACCACCATCCCTGTGCCACCACAGCCCCTGTGCCACCACAGCCCCTGTGCCACCACCATCCCTGTGCCACCACCATCCCTGTGCCACCACCATCCCTGTGCCACCGCTGCCCCTGTGCCACCACCGCCCCTGTGCCACCGCTGCCCCCGTGCCACCACAGCCCCCGTGCCACCGCTGCCCCCGTGCCACCACCATCCCTGTGCCACCACCGCCCCTGTGCCACCACTGCCCCTGTGCCACCGCTGCCCCCGTGCCACCGCTGCCCCCGTGCCACCACCGCCCCTGTGCCACCACCACCACTGTGTCACCGCAGCCCATGTGCCACCACCATCCCTGTGCCACCACAGCCCCTGTGCCACCACCATCCCTGTGCCACCACTGCCCCCGTGCCACCGCTGCCCCCGTGCCACCGCTGCCCCCGTGCCACCACCATCCCTGTGCCACCACCGCCCCTGTGCCACCACCATCCCTGTGCCACCACCGCCCCTGTGCCACCACCATCCCTGTGCCACCACTTCCCCTGTGCCACCGCTGTCCCTGTGCCACCGCCGCCCCTGTGCCACCACTGCCCCTGTGCCACCGCTGCCCCTGTGCCACCACTATCCCTGTGCCACCGCTGCCCGTCCCCGGGGCCGCCCCACGACGAGGAAATGCCGTTAGGCTTTGCGTGTGGCATCTCCCGTGCCACCACTGGCACGTCAGGTCTCTGGGCACCACGAGTGAGAGCCCTGCAAGCACCTCCGGCAGCCTCGCTCGTGCAGCAGGTCCCGTGGGAATGGGGGTTTGTCACCTGTGAGTTGTCTGTGTGGCTTCTCCAGTGACACTCCGAGCTGAGGGCAGAGCTGGCAGAGCTCAGGGTCTGCGTGGGCCCCCCCACAGTGCTGTGCCCTGGGGCAGCACAGGGTGATGCTGATCCCAGCCCCGGGGATGATGCCCGTGTGGCTCCCACGCGGGCCGGCCCTGCGGCACCGAGCGCGTGCCGTGCTGGCAGCACCTGCTCTCGGTGCACATCCTGCAGCAACCGGCCCTGGCACAGCCCCTGGCTCTGCCCACAGGCACAGGGTCTGGCTCCAGCTCCAGTGGGGCATGTGGTCAGCCCCACACAGGGCCTTGGTTTGCTTTAAACCTGCCCTGCCCGCCCCACAGGCACCAGGATCACACATAGGAAACCAACTGAGCGCTCCCACTGCTCTGTCTTTTATTCCTTCACTTTTTTTGCCCCTTTTCTCTCTTCAAATCTTCCTTTGAAACCAAAACTTCCTGCAGTTTGAAATGGACAATAAGGCCGCTCCGGCAGCTGCAGCCCAAGAGCTTCAGCTCTTGGCAGGAGGATCAGAACTACAAAACTATTTCTTTGAGGCAAATTATGCATTCATCCAGCTCATTTGAAACAAAATATGATTTGCAATTTAACTTTCCATAATGAGCTCCTGCTATTATACCGTTTCCATAATGGCTGGTTTCATTGGAACAGATTGTTGGTGCACATGGTTTACAAAACATTTTCAATGCAAGCCCCGTTTTTTCTTATTTTAAATAGCAACAGCTGCTAAGCATGATAATTATTGTATTTCATCAAAATAAACTTACCGAGTTGCTTCTTGATGCCACTCATCGCAGTTTTCCAGCGGACCTGCAGGTTATTAAAGAAGCTGAAACTTTAATTCAGCAAAGTGAGAGCAGTAGCACAGCAGGGACACCTTCCACTAGCCCAGGTTGCTCCAAGCCCTGTTCAGCCTGGCCTTGGACACTTGCAGGGATGGGGCAGCCACAGCTTCTCTGGGCAACCTGTGCCAGGGCCTCCCCACCCTCACAGGGGAGAATTATTTCCTAATATTCCATCTAAACCTACTCTCTGACAGTTTGAAGCCTTTCCCTCTCCTCTTGTCACTACATGCTCTTGTAAAAAGTTCCTCTCCATCTTTCTTGCAGGCTCCCTTCAGGTACTGGAAGGCCAGGAGCAAACAATTAGAACCTGCAGTGATTAATTGCTAATTGCACTTACCTGCATCACTGTTTCCCAGGGCACCCCTTGGAGCTCCCCCAGCTCTGGATCAGCCCCAGAGCTGCAGCCACGGCCACAGAGCACCGGTCCCCCTTCCCCAAACACGCCCAGCTCCTGCTGACCTTCTCCAGCACCAGCTCAGGGTCAAGGAGGATTTTCTCCTCTAGTGACTGCCTGGAGGTACTGGCAGAGGGACTGGAGTTTATTAGCAAAGAGCAGGGGAAGGTCTTACATGTTGAAGATTTTCTGGGGGGCTCTTGAGAGCTGGGTCGGTCAGAGATTTATGGGTGTGCAAGCAGTCGTGGCAGAGGATAACGATGCTGGAGAAGCTATTCCAGCCCCAAGTGAAAGGCTGCCCTTTACAGCACCTCAGCGTTTGGATTTAGATGACATATAGTAATGGCACCTCAGAAGCCATTACTGTCCATCAAGTAAATAATAAACACGAGATATAAACGACTTGGCCTTACCCAGGCTCTCACAAACTATGGCAAACTCTAAAAACCCCCAGAAAATGAAAGCCAGAAAGGACAAAGGACAAGGGATGATGTCGAGGAAGGAACAGCCAAAGGTCTGCAGGAATAGGGACTGGGGAGCTTCCTTTGCAGCAAACCATGGTGAGGGCTGCGTGCTTGTCCTGATGTGGAATTAGGGGAGGAAGGGTGAAAAGCAGAGCTCTGAGCTGCAGCCAGGACCCAGTTGCCACCTCCCCTCGGTGGGCTCTGTGCCAGTGCCAGCTCCTGCGGGCTGACAGCGCCTCACCGCCAGGCTTGTCATCACAGCCCCAACACAGCAATCAAACCCTCCCTTGGGAGGCAGGCGGGGAAGGCAGCCCACAGCGCCCAGCAAACCAACGCCCCAGGCAGGACTGGCAGCCATCCCCCCTTCCCACAGCTAGAGCTGGGTCCCTCTGTGTCTGCAGGGCTGGACCTGGCCCTCCAGGGGCAGCCCCCAGTCGTGTGTCCCCTCCATGCCCACTCCTGTGTCACCCCTGGTGAGCTGTGAGTGACCCACGGTGGCGACCACTGCTGTACCTGGCACTGGCACACAGACACCGACCTCAGCAGGCACGTTGGCCGTGGTGCCAGTTGGGATGGATGGTCCCAGTTCCTCCTGTCTGTGGGATCATTCCACGGGCAAAGACCGAATCACCCAAAGTCTTCTTCTCTGGCCAGAAGAGCCCCCACGCTCCTGTTGGTTTTGCAGTGTTTACAGTGCTCCCACGATGATCTAACGCTGCACAAAGCCATTGTAGGATAAATATAGAGCACTGCAGCACCATAAATCAGCCTGCTCCGGAGCAAGGGGAGGATCGGGCTGGCCGGTGGGATGTGGGTCTGCTGGCACTCCCTGAAGGTGTATCTGCCCGTGACACCTGGCCCCTGTGTCACCTCCTGGGCTGTCCTGCCCATGATGGAGGTGACTCCAGGCACTGCCGTGGGGCTCCCTGCCCAGCCTGCCCTCGCCGGTGGGACGGTGCTGGCAGCCCCACGCAGACGATGGGCTATCATAGTGTTTATCGAGGTCTGGCGGAAAGAAAACAAGGTAATGGGGCATTTGCTGATTCAATTCGTTGAATTTGAACAAATCTTTTTAATCTTCCTCCCCCGAGGATTGGAAAGGTCAGGAAATAGGCAGAATGTGCACTTTCAGGTATTGAAATTAAACTTGTTAAGAAATCCATATTGATTTGCACTTCTCCGAGAAATATTGAAGCCTCCAGATTTAGCCTGGGTATTGATTTTCTCTTCCAGGGGAAAGACATGGGCACAAAGGAAAGATATTACACGTGGCAGTAAACACCTTCAATCACCGCCCGCCCTGCCTCCATAAACAAACCGGAGAGTGCTGGCACTGCACACACATCTCCCTGCCCACAGGGCCTCACACCCTGCCTGGGGACGGGGTCAGTGCCCCACACCTCTCACGGTTTAGCTTTGGGTCAGCCCCAATCAAAAGTAACTGGCTGGGCAGTTTGAGAGGGCCAGTGCAGGTCCCTCCCAGCTGGACCATTCCACTCCATCCTATTCCATGTTTTGTGCTTCCAGCCCTTTCACTACTTTGTTTTTAAATATTTCCCTAAGATCTGGGTGCTGCTCTTCCTCGATTGTTTTTAACACATGCAATCAGCAACTACAGGGAATTAAGAGGCCTAATTATCATCTGAATCAGCCTTCTCAGAACAACCCCCTTCCAAATAACAGCAGATAAGGGGGAGGCAGATGAAACTCTTCCCTGTAGGGTGGGCAGGCCCTGGCACAGGTTGCCCAGAGAAGCTGTGGCTGCCCCATTCCTGCAAGTGTCCAAGGCCGGGTTGGACAGAGCTTGGAGCAACCTGGGCTAGGGGAAGGTGTCCCTGCCCATGGCAAGGGGTGGCACTGGATGGGCTTTAATGTCCTGCCTGGGGCCATTTGCAGAGCTCCAGGAGGGATTTCACTCCAGCAGAGCTCCTGTGCCAGGTTTCCCACAGTGACCTGACCGTTATTTCCAGAAAGAATTAGGATGTGCCCCCTGACCAGCCACACTCTGACTTTGGGTGGGAGACCCAGGGCAAGTCTGCTCAAAGAAACACACACCAGGCACAGATGTTTCCCTTCTACAGAGAGCAGAGTAAACGAGAGCCTCGCTGCCCCCAGATCAGCCCTGGGGACCCTGTGGGAATCCATCACTTCTGTCCGAACATTAAATAAGATTTCAATTAAGTGACACATCATCACAGACCAGCTGCTTCAAAACTGCCTCCATTTAGATGAGCTCTGCTCCAGCGGGAGAGTTTAAAGCCAAACCTCCACCTGCTCACATGTGCCCTGGCATTCCCAGACTGACCTCCCTCCTCCCTGCCAGCCACGGCGCAGTTCTCTGGTGCCCACAGCAGGGTCAGCGTGACCTATTCAGCCAAGGATCTTGCCAAACTGGACGGTTTTATTGTTGTTTTTCTCATGGATCTCCCAGCCATTAGGGAATCACACCCCATCCGCTCGCCTGCGGCCGGCCCAGCTGCTCCCGCAGCACCACGATCACACAGTGCCTCCTTGGCTGTGCCCAGACAGTCATCTCTGACTGCTGTGTATCAACTGTAGGGAATTAATTCATTTTCTTGCAACATTAGAGGTGAATTAAACGCTGGATACTCGCTACCAGTCACTGGAGGAATTCTGCTCCTGAGTCCTTTCATGGGAAGGAAGGAAGGCAGGAAGGAAGAAAGGAAGGCAGGAAAGCAGGAAGGCAGGAAGGAAGGAAGGAAGGAAGGCAGGAAGGAAAAAAGCCCTTTTGAGACCACAGAAAATTGCAAAAGGATGTTTCTTCCAACCCGACATGACAAAATTGAATTCCAAGCTATTTAATGCATGCACGAAACGCCACAGAGGAACCCAGCCCGAGCACTCTGTCCAGCACGACAGGGAAAGGGGTTTGGAACACGAGCATCGCTCCGGCACCAACTCAGTGCTTCCAGCTCCGGACTTCCAGGCGATTCCACTTAAATGTAACTACCGGGTTAAGGGTTCTCACGGACAGGGCTATCGCCAGCATTTCCATGGACACACAGCTACGGGAACACGGCGGGTATGATCACACGAACGATGGAGACCTCGGGAAGCCGCTGTCCCAGGGGGGTTGGAGCCCCACTCAGTCCGCAGGGCGCCAGGGCCAGGGTCCCAGCACGGCCCTGTCCCCTCCCCACCGGGGGTCCTGTCCCCCCGTGGCCGCAGCCGCCTGGCCTGGCTGGTGGCATTTCAGGAGTGAAAAACCAGCCCCGCAGGCGGGGGCTTGGGGAGCCTCTGGGTTTGTCCTTAAAAACGGGGTTTCACGGGTTACACCATCACAAGGGTGATGCCATGCAGCCTGCCCACGGCCCTGCCCGCCTCAGACCGGCGTGGTTCGTCTGTTGGCCGGGTTGTTGTGCAAAGACTCCTTGAACTCTTTGGGGATGGAGTTATGGACCTGTAAAAAACCGTGGTCCCGCTCCGAGTTAAGCAGCGTCCCCATGGTGACCTTGGAGGGATCCCTGGAGAGGGTGAACATGGAGATGTCGGTGGAGGGGATGGTGCTGAACCCCTTGCTGATGGGTGACATGTCCCGGGAGCGGGGCTCGGTGGAGCGGGAGCTGGACCGCCGGCGGAAGCGGTACCTGTAGGGGGGGAGGCGGGTGAAGGCCGACTTCTTCAGCAGCTCTGAGTGGGACCTGGCGCGGATCTGGCGGTGCTTCTCGATGTACATGTGCACGGCAATCACCCCCACCATCTCAGCGATGATGAAGGACAGGGCTCCGAAGTAGAAGGACCAGCCGTAGGAGTAGCTCTTCTTGGAGTCGCTCTGGCCCGGGTCCCCCGCGTTGGCTGAGATGTAGACGATGATCCCGATGATGTTGCTGAGACCTGCAGGGGAGGATGAGGGACAGGCGCTCACCTGAGTGACAGGAGCAGGATGGGCGAATGTGTCCCTATGGGGCACCAACACCTCTGCCAGCACACTGGGGCCAAACCCCCTCACAGAGCTCTGCTATCCCAGTGTATCTATATACATGGAGTATATCTGGATATTCTTGGATATTGGGAGGTGGGAAGGAAAAACCACTATTTTGTTTAGAAAAGGGGAATTTCAAGAGCTGGTTGTGCTTTGCTTTGCTGAGCAATGAACCCCAGGAGCCCGATCTGCGGCCAGAGCAGAGACAACCCGAGGGGCACAGAGGGATCCCTCCAGTACAAACCCCAGCTTGCGATGGCCCATGGGAGCACATGGGAAGCTGGAATGGCTCCATGTCTTTCCATTTCTGCTGGAGCCTGGAGGCTTTATTTGAGATGGGGGCACTCTGTGCCCTGCCAGCAGCCAGCGGGGCTGTGCCGCAGGGCTGGGGAGTGGCTGGTGCATTCCCGGATTTACTTAATGAATCGATTATGTTCTCTCTGCTGTTTTCTCATCTGCATCAGCAGCTCCTGCCAGCCAAGGAGGGAGAGTCATTTGTCTCTTTGTGGGGAGAAGAAAAACACAAAATAGAGCAGTTCCTTGAGACAAAGACATTGTCACACGATAATCAGGGGAAGCGCTGGGGAACAGCACAATGAGTAATCCAGCAGGAACGGCCCCTCCAGAGAGTGATTTCCATGGAGGACTGCGGCAGCCCCTCTGCCTGGTCCTGCTGCTGCCAGCACAGTGCCCGCTGACTGACAGGGCCCCCCAGGACCTGTCTGGGGCCAGGTAACCCCCAGTGGGACAGCTGCACTCTGGGAACCCTTCCCAGGCTGCAGCACCTGCACGGATCCTGCTCGGACACAGCAGGGTGGACGCTTGAAGTGCTGCCCAGCACAGTGACCAAGGCCAGAGACCCCTGACAGTTCATCCCTGGGACAGGCATTTTCCCACTTGGATGGGACAGCTCACAGACCCCAGAACCTGTGCTGACAGCCTGGGAGGAGCCACACCCCATCTGTCACCCCTGTCCCCCCAGGCTGGAAGGGCCGCCCCAGGGAGCTCCCACCTGCAGAGACGAAGAAGATGCCGGCGCTGAGGATGACGTTGTGTTTGCTCTTGTAGAACTCGCTGGCGGCCACGCACAGACCCCCGAAGAACAGCAGCCCCACACTGAGGATGGGGAAGATGCTGGACGCTCTCACCGCACCTGTGGGACAGGGAGTGGGGCAGGATCAGCCCTGGCATCGCTGCCGGCACCCCCCACCAACACCTGCACCCGGGAGGGAGCAGTGCAAGGGCACGTTTGGTGCTGCCAGCAGAGGTGGGGAGACCCAGCACGGGTCCCCACTATGCATCCTCTGCTTGGCATGGAATCCTGGAATGGTTGGGTTGGCAGGGACTTTAGAAATCATCCCATTCCACCCCCTGCCATGGGCAGGGACACCTTCCACTAGCCCAGGCTGCTCCAAGCCCCATCTAACCTGGCCTTGGACACTCCCAGGGATGGAGCAGCCACAGCTTCTCTGGGCAACCTGTGCCAGGGCCTGCCAACCCTCACAGGGGAGAATTTCTTCCCAGTATCTCTATTGTCACTGAGCTGCTCCAGATCCCAACAGCAGCCCTGCAGACCCTGTGATTCCAGCCACAAGAACAGCTTAATCCCTGAATTTCTTTTCCCCCCACCTCCTAGGCTATTTTTTCCAGCCTTGTCACACACTCAGCACCAGCAATTTACCTTCCCATTACCAAACACACCACCCACAGGTTTTAGCTGTGGATGTGCCTCTGGAGTCTGGGATGGCAGAAACCACATGGATCTCACCAGGCTGGGGAGGAACTGCCAACCACAGAGTCAGGAACCTTTCCCGTAGGGCCCAAACTATCACAGCTGCTTTGAAAGCCAAAATTTGCAAACTAATACAGCTCAAGTTCAACAAAAAGTAATTTTCTGGTGTAGAGGAGGAACATTTTGAAAATGAACAGAGAGCCCAGGCCCTGGAGCCCAGCATGATGCCGTGACCCTGGCACTGGGCTCCATCCCACAGGATCAGCTCTGGCAGAGCCAGTCTCTGCGTGCTGGGGAGTCACTGACCAGGCACTACACCAAGAAGGGTCTTTCCTGAATGGATCAGCTTCCAAAATGACAGTAGAGAGTAATGAATACAGCAAATCACTACCTGCTGCACCAAAAATACACTGTGTCTTGGCTTGGGCTCTCATCCCTTGATTAGGGCTGTTATTAAAGCACAGAAATGCAGAGAGGCCCCATTAAAATGCCACTCTGGGGGCTTTAAAATAGACTTTTTACTTTAAATGTGGGAGGGGGTGGGAGAACTTCAATGCTAATCTCCTAAAACTGCAAACCTGTTCCATTAAAACCCCTCCCCTCTCTACTGGGTGAGCAGAGCTGTAGAAATTGGGGAGTTCAGAGCAACATCTGGTTGAACAGCAGCTGGGTCAGGTGGGGGATCGGGGCTGGGCACTGGGCAACGGGCACAGGGCCCTTCTCCTGGGACTCCTCCCACCCCCAAGGGCTCAGAGAGTGCCCAGGCTGCCACCACCTCCAAAACTGCCCCCTGTCCTTGTTTGGACACACAGGTGCTGGAATGAACCCCCAGCTGGGCAGGCTCCACAGCCTGTCACACACGGGTGCGGCTGCTGATGGGCTGGGCAGTCCTTGCCCGTGTGGCTTTGCATGCTGGGCTCTGCCATTTGTGCCCAGGCTCTCACCAGGTGCCCCAGGGCATTCACACCCCTGTCTGCAGAGCACTGAAGGGACTGTGCCCCTTCCCTGGGGGGACAATCTCACCCAGCCTCAGGGCTCCCCATGATTTCCCCTGAAAGGGAAATTTAGGTTCAATATAAGGAAGAAACCCTTCCCTGTGAGGGTGGGCAGGCCCTGGCACAGGTTGCCCAGAGAAGCTGTGGCTGCCCCATCCCTGCAAGTGTCCAAGGCCAGGTTGGATGGGGCTTGGAGCAACCTGGGCTGGTGGGAGGTGTCCCTGCCCATGGCAGGGGGTGGGACTGGGTAATATTCAAATACTAAGGTCCCTTCCAACCCAGGCCATTCCAGGATTCTATGACTCTGTGTGGTTCTGCCCTGAGGGTTTGCTGGCCCCAGAGACAGGAGAACCTGCTTTTCCCAGGAGAGCTGCCAGTTTGATTTCCCTCTGTCTCCCTGCACTTGGCTGCCACTGCAGAGCACGTGGCAGACGCTCATTGTGCTCTCCCAGCAGATCCAGCCTGGCTGGAGACTCTGGGAACAGGGACACCAGCACAAACAGGGCATGAACATGAACCCCTGTAGTGCTGCACCACAGACACACGGGGTCCCAGTCCCCTCTGGGGGCACCCCAAGAAGCTCAGGCTGTGCAGCAGCTCCTGGGACTGGCCATGGGGACAGGGGGTGCCAGACAAATGTGCCATTGCCACGAGGACTGCGGTGGGACGTGGCTACCAGGGTAACCTGGAGGGTCACTGCTGCTGCACGGGGAGCCAGGTGGGGGGGACCTGCTGGGTGAGGCTGGGGGACAGGGAGGGGGGTGCCCTGCAGAGGGGTTTAGGGGGTGCCCAGGGAATGTGCACCATGGGGAAGCAGAACTCACGGAGGAGATACTCAGCGGTGTCTTGCTCGTAGTCTGCATCCTCGGGGAAGTGGTCGATTTTCTTGCACACTCCTCGGAAGGTTCCTGGGAACACACAAGCCAGAAAACACTCAGACCTCCCTGCTCTGGCTGGAGCGCTGCAGGATGTGCAGCAGCCCAGGGGCCTGGATGTTTTACGTGGGGAAACTGAGGCACAGTATGGGACTCCTCTGGAGGTGCAGGGTGAGGTGAGAGGAACTGCAGCATCTCCCTGGAGGAAGAGGAGCCCCCTCGTCACAGTGGTGCTGGAGCACGTGGTCAGGTCGTGCTGGCTCTGTCCCCTCTCCCATGGGAGCAGGAAGGACGTGTCCCCAGGGGACAGGCTCCAGGCAGGAGAAGCCCACCCTCACAGTGTCCTGCACGCTCCCGGGCTGCACTCGAGGGAGCTGAGCGTCGTGACAGGCATCAATTAAAGCTTGGAGATGAAGCTCTGGAGGAGGCAAGCTGTCATCCAGAGGGAGACACGGCATCCGAGGGAGAACCGCCTGCTCCCGTTGCTTTGGGAACTCTGGGAGAAGGGGATGCACTGAGCGCAGCGAGGACACCAGCTGCACGGCACAGCCCCCAGCCTCCTCTTCCTCGCAGCTTTCGGTGTCCACCCACCTTCTGCTGGCACCCAGAGCCAGCAGGCTCTGCCCCCTCTGCCAGAGTCACCCCCACGTGTCCCTTTGCTCTCCAGCCATCGGGCACTGCCAGAGTGGGGCTGCACCAACTGAGCCCTGCTCTGAGTGGGCACGGCCAGGGCAACGTGCCCGAGCGCCCAGGGGGAGGGGGTGGGCAGGGGGGCAGCCCCAGCTCCACTGCCACTATCTCACGCTCTGACATTTATTTTGGCTCCTTTATTCCCTCTGTTCATCAACCGATGCTCGTTGCCATGGCAATGCTGAGCCACCTGACACACAACTTCAGCCTCCAAACACACACCACAACAAGGCTGAAATCCCAAAAAGCCCCCTCTGACCTCCAAAATGCTCCCTGAGGATGGAGTCCTGCCTCAGGGAGCTGTGGCTGGAAACGGCTCCAGGGATGGATGAAGCAGCTGCTCAGGGTCCTGGTTGGGGACTGAGCCCACCAGGCAGTTGGGCTACATGGCACATCCTCAGCCATCAGCTCCCTGTCCCCTGGTGATGGCAGATGAAACTGCAGGTATTCCTCTCCCAGCTTTATCGCTGGGCCTGGGTTACAGCAGCAATACCACATCATGGGCAGGAAAGAAGTGAGTTTTGTCCAGGTCCTCAGCTTCTGGAGTCTCCTGCTCTGCCCACACTCCCTTAGCAAGAACTTGAGGCAGCAGTGATGCCAGATTACCTGTTCCTGGATCACTGCTCCTAGCTGCCCCTGACCCCTGCCAGATCCAAGGCCACAGCTGTGGGCTTGGGCAGAGGATGCCCTGCTCCAGTGCTGGCCAGAGCAGGACTCACTGGGATGCTGTCCCACCGGGATGTGGCCTGGCTCAGGTCCAGCCACTTGCTCTGGGCACTTGCAGCCTCAGCCCCTGCTGACGCCTCTCCTGGGCACACGTCGCCCGCACCGGGTGTGGATCCAGCGTGGGCACAGCCCTGGGCACGGCTCGTGCTGCTCCGGGCGCTGCTGCCTCCACCCAGCCACCCTCCCCATGCTGACAGCTCCTCTCCCAGCTGGGACCCCACCAGCCTGGTGGTTCCAGCACATCCCAACCTGCTCCCGAGTCCTTCCCCAGGCGCTGGCCGTGCCTGTGCCGCAGCTCCACGCTGTGAGCGTCAATCACACCCGGGTCGGTTCACCTGCGGCCGGGCGAGCGCCAGTGCAGGCAGCGCTGCCACCGGGACTCACTCCCTGCTCGGCTGTCTCGGTGGTGGATCTGGCTAATTTCCTCTCCCTATTAGTGTGAATCCTGATTAGCCAGCTTGGCTGATCGCCACCCTTCCCTGCCAGAGCCCGGCCCGGCAGCAGCCGGCTCTGCTCAGAGCTGGGCAGGGGGGCTGTGCAGGGAGCCCCCACCAGCTGGCACTCACTCCCCTCCCTGCCCTGGCACCGGGCAGCACTGAGGAACTACACCTGCCCTCCCATCTTCCAGCTGGGTTCTGCTCCAGAACCCCCGGGTGCATCCAGCAGGGTGACAAGCTCGGCTTCCCCAGGCAAGGACACGCACTGGGCTCCCCCAGACCCACAGACAGGCTGGGATGGTGCCTGGCCAACAGGCACCAGCAAGGAGACATAAGAACAATGTTCTGAATCAGCTGGAGATGTGCCAGCTCCAAAGCCTGCAACAAAATCCTTTGCCATATTCCACAGCTCTTCCATTTCACATCCCTCCTTTCTTTTCTGGAAAAGCATCTGCAGTTGCACAACCCACCACTGCCTCAGTGCTCTCCTGTGGCCAACATGGACACACTGACAGTGAGAAATGCTGCTGCCATGTCCAGGGAGAGAGGCACAGCCCTCGAGGTGGCACTTTGAGCCTGACCAAGTCAGCGAACAGCAACATCACCAGTGTAAGTGCCTGGGTGAGCCAGGCAGAGCGGGTGGGAAGAGGAGCACTGGGGATGAGCTGTGCTCTTCACCCCCAAGACACTCATGGTGGCACAGGGACAAGTGTGTTCTTCAAACACTGGCTGTGTGCTGTGGCACTGCACTGCCTGCTCAGGCTAAATTACAACCTCCACCACGAAGCCAGAGCACCTCCCGACCCTCCTGCAGCATCTTCCCCACCGACCACCAAGCTGCTCCATAAAGGGGAGCAGCTGGAAGAGCTTGGTCAGGAACTGAGACTACCAAGCCCCAGCTAGGCCCTCCTGCATCGTGGGGTGACAGGGGTACCTGGTCATGGCAGGGTTACTGTGAGCAACCCCACCTCTACCACCAGGTGGGTGCCACCTCTCTCCTCAGCCTTCACAGCTCCTGCATACCCCTGGCCAGGAGCAGAGCACATCCACCCACACTCTGTCCCACCTTCACCCAGCTGCAGGTCAAACTCTCCATGCAATGGTCTCACTTTAACCCAGGGGTGCCCTGAGAATCTGCAGGCATGGCAGGGGAGCCCTCTCCAGCTGGGAAATCTTCTAGGGCATGTTGTACGTGTCAGCAGTGGGACCGTGGGCTGTGTGGTACCTGCAGCACGTGCCTGCCCAGCAGCTCCAGGCTCCCTGCAGCGAGCCCTGTCTTCAGGAAGCGATGGACTCGTACAGCACACTCTGCAGCCGCTGGTTTGTGCGGGATCCCTTCCCTTCCTTCCCCTCACACGGGGCCGTTTGCATCCCGTGCTCTGCGTAACCCTTCGAGCCCTTCCGTGGCCCCAGCTGGAGCCCCACCAACTGCACGTTGGATAATGTGAGTGGTGGCTGCCCCTGGAGCCCCCCTCCCCCGGGGTAGGGCTTTGTGGTTCTCCTGCTCTGCTCGCTCGAGTTCCGCTGCGCGCGGAGCTCCCGGCACCGCGGTTATCGGCGCACGCAGAGGCAATTAATTGATTTGATCTCAGGTCGTTTTCCTCTCACAGCCCTGTTCCCCAGAGGGGGCTGGGGGGAACGGGGAGGGGGTTGCAAAGGAAGCACGATGGTGTAAATATGACCAAGAATATCGATCCCAGCCCGGCGAGCCAGAAGACTAAAGAGCTCCAGTTATGGTGTTAAAATCTCATTACTTTTCATCCACTGGAACAGTTTTCCAGGGACCATTCTGGGTGTTACTACCGTGTGCAAAGGAAGACTCAGGCTGGGGAGGATGAGCTACAACCACTTTTAAATGAGAACAAAATTCCTTGCTCCCCTAATTCTGGCTCAGCCAGGAGGACTCAAGGTCACATTCTAGCCCTCAGCTCTCCACTCCTCCTGATAAATCCAAGTGAGTTATCTCCCGAGTTGTGGTTTCCAGTAATGGCCTTCCTAAAGACACCACATTACACCAAATCCATTTGGAGGCAATGGCAGTCACTGTGGTCCAAGTTCTCTGAAGATTATTATTTTGGAGAACCAGAGGTCGGAGCTGAGCTGAGAAGTGCTGGGGCAGGAGCCCGTGGCACATCCCCAGAGATGCTCAGGCTCTGCACTCCCTGAGTAACGAGAGCAAGATACCTAAATATCTCCAAGGAATTAAAACTTCAGGGCTCATCTTTTTTTACCTCCCACCCACCTCCCAGATGCTTGGAGAGATGGAAAGAAATTCATCCGTATTCCTTCCCTTTCCCAGCTCCAGGCTCTGCGAGGAATCCTGAGGCTCTTTGCACAAGGTCCCTGGTGTAAGATTGCAGAGCCAGGGGGTTTTGAGTCTTGGTTAGCCATGGCCAGCACCCAGTGGCCACTGTGAAGGGCTCAGTGGGTGGCACTGAGCAGCTCCTGTCCCCCAGGAAGGGCTGTGGGGGTCCAAGGAACCCCCACAGCACCTCGTTTGCCTCCTGCATTGCCAAATTTTCAACACAGCCCAATTTCAAAGACAAACAGCAGCTTAGAAAAGCATCAGGGAAAGATGGTGGGATGGCTGCAGACCCGACCCACAGCTCAGAGCAACACAGCCGGAATTGCTGCTGGAGCCAAAGACAAGAGGTGCTACCCCAGGGCAGGGAATACTCAGAGAGCCAGGTGAGGGACCTGTCCTTGCCATCATCTGTGACTCCTCAGACTGTTACTGTCACTGTCACCTGCCTCCTCACACAAGCATCTGCTGGCCTCAACTCTCCTGGAGAGTGGCTGAATTCAGGCAAACCCTGTGTTTTCGTTCAACAAAAGCCCCCAGCTCTGCACCACTCTCCAGCCAGGATCTCCCCATGTCGGGAGGGGTGCTGGGCTCCCCAGCACCTGGCAGTGGGAGGAATCCTCCCCCTCAGGACTGAGCTGTCCTGTGGCACATCCCCATCGCCCCACCCCAGCTTCCCACCGCGGCACCGGCGTAATCTGGCTCCGTCTCCACTTCACACCCTCTCCCCCTCTCTGCGGTGGTGGTTTGTGGCTGAGCAGAGGCACCTACACAGATATGCCTGTTCTGAAGGACTTTTTTCCTGGTTTTGTAAAAAAAAAAAAAAACCAAAAAAAACACCAGTGGAAAAACCCCGAGTGAGCTGAAAGGAGCACAGG